CCTTAAACCAGCTCACAGTATCTTCTTCTTCTTCTCCTTTCGGCACGTCCCTATTCAGGGGTCGCCACAGCGAGTCAGTAATTTCCATCCGCCCCTGTAAACCGTCCTACCAACTCGCATGGTCGTCTTGGCAAAAGTCTTACGCCGGATGCCATTCCTGACGCAACCCTCCCCATTTCTCCGGGCTTGGGACCGGCACTGGGGAACAGTGCACCCCCAGGGGAGGGCACTGCCCCCCAGCGGCTGGGTTAAGACAGTAGAAAGCACAAAACAGTAAAATTAAGATCAAGTCTGAGCCATGCTGAGTGAAAAGCCAAAGAATACAAATGAGGAGAACAGCTGTTTTTAAGTACCTTCAGAGTAGGGTTTTCAAAAACAGCTACTGTTTCAAAGTAGTGTTTTCAAAAAGAACTCTGATTTCAAAGTAGGGTTTTAAACGAGAGCGACTATAGTAATAATAATAATACAGTACATGGCTTTAAATTGTATAGTTACTAGGGCGGCTCCAGCTACTGCAGACAAATTCATTGTGTGTTTCAATTTACTTTCCCAATAAAGATTGAAAAAAAAATAAACTCAATAATTTAGTCGTTCCGTTAAGAGAGTGAACCACTGTAAGTGAACGGTAACACAATCATTGACAGTTTAAACATGTAATGACAAATGCCGGCCAGGGCGAGTCACTAATGCAACAACTGTTGTCTCCTTGAAGTACTGTACTGTAAAAGCAAAGTAAGCGAGACGGCGTGTTTATACTGTTTTGAAATTGTATTCATGTCTGCAGTGAACGTAGTTTTCTGCCATGGAACAGAATACTTTTAAGTCACTTGTTTTGTGTGTGTACTGTGTGCGATTAAACCCGAAAATTCCTCGGAAAGTTTAGCGTGGTTGCTGCGCAAAAAGGGACGCGGAATTTGTCGTCTTGGCTATTTATTTTGAACACTTCCAAAAGAATTTACTTTTCAAAATTTTATTTGGACCTTATTTGCTCAGGGATTTTTTTTCTGTGTAAGATTTAATATTTAACGCGTTACCGACCCCGGCAAGAAGTTTGTCCAAGTAAGCTTGTCGTACAACTTCCGCTGCACATTCGCTTCCGTGTTCGTTGTGGCTAGCCCAACACACTTCACGAAATAATTATTCCCAAAATATTACAGAACTTCCCGAAACTTGAACGCAGATCGCAACATTATCGCTTCACTGGAGTAAAACATTTTCCATTAAATCACCGAGTTCGGGTAAACTCGTCTCGGTGCACGTTGTGAAAGCTTCTTGAGCTCACCTAGCTTGTATTAGTTTGCCGGCCGCTCACAAAGAGACGCGTTTGATATCAATACATCCTGTGCTAAAAACAAATCTGGTGTGTGTAAATCGTTGAAAATGTGTGCAAAAACCGTAAAAGAAGAGTTCGGGGAGGAACTTTCTTGGGCAAAAGAAAACGAGCCACAACGTCAACTACTGGCCGACGTATTCAACGAGTCTCAAGATGTGTTACAAAGAGCAGGTTTGTTCACTTCTTATCCTTGTTTAGCAACTAAACGCTTTATTCAAAACTGTATTCGTGTATAATCCATGTCCCACGTAGTCATATTACAACATTTAAAGTTGTTAATATAATACGAGTGAGCCTGAATCTGTGTGAAATTACACAAAACCTTCGATTATCCCCTCAAATCAATTTGTCAAGACTTGCTCAAAAAAACAACAATGAATGAAAAGAAAAAATTATTTTGTACCAATTTCCCGCTATGGCCTTTAAACAGTGACAAGACAAAAGTGACAGCAATACCATTTTAACTTTATGAGCGCACCTATATATATATATCACCATTCTACGAAATATACATCATACAATACAATACATGATATTGAATCAATTAAAAGTGGAATAATAATAATGTGTCAGTATGTTGTCAATTTTGAAAGGAAGAAAAGAACTATTGAAAAGAAAATTTAAAAAGTGTAAAAAAAAAAAAAAGTGTTCGGTCTTTCTGGTGGCACGTGTTTGTTTTGGCAGAGACACAAATGCTTCAAATGTCCAGAATGTTCCTGAGGCAATGAGAGGGTTTTGCATCTCTGGTGATAGTGTCTGAGCAAATGTCTTATTTTGAGTGAACGCGAAAGATAATCTGTCTGCTTTCATGGATGTCTGCAGAAATCAGAGAATACTTTTGAGAGGCTGATATCAAAGGATTTAGACATCTTTTCAGTTAAATAATAGCTGTAAGTGATGAATTGGTTATCAACATAGTTGTCATTTCATTTAAATCGATTAGTTGCTCAAGAGTCGATTATCTTTGACACCTCGAGACTATGTAAAATATGAGGGATACTTTCAAGTTCCATCAAGCGACAAGCAGCTAGCTGTACATCTGACGGAATCGTCATCAGAGCAAAATTAGCTGGTCAAGCCAAGGAGGGTGCACCCTGCCATCATGAGTGTTCGGTCTTTCTGGTGGCACGTGTTTGTTTTGGCAGAGACACAAATGCTTCAAATGTCCAGAATGTTCCTGAGGCAATGAGAGGGTTTTGCATCTCTGGTGATAGTGTCTGAGCAAATGTCTTATTTTGAGTGAACGCGAAAGATAATCTGTCTGCTTTCATGGATGTCTGCAGAAATCAGAGAATACTTTTGAGAGGCTGATATCAAAGGATTTAGACATCTTTTCAGTTAAATAATAGCTGTAAGTGATGAATTGGTTATCAACATAGTTGTCATTTCATTTAAATCGATTAGTTGCTCAAGAGTCGATTATCTTTGACACCTCGAGACTATGTAAAATATGAGGGATACTTTCAAGTTCCATCAAGCGACAAGCAGCTAGCTGTACATCTGACGGAATCGTCATCAGAGCAAAATTAGCTGGTCAAGCCAAGGAGGGTGCACCCTGCCATCATGCCTGCTGCTGTTAGAGCTGGCCTGATGTTGTGAAGCTAATCTGCAGATACTACAAGTTTATATGTATATTTTTAAAAGGATTTGTCACAGTTTTGGAAACTTGGAAGACTTCAGATGCAGTACTTAATGAGCGATAGTTCCCTCAGCATTGGCCAGAAAGTGATCAGTCATGAAGTTACGTATGTTCCCTTTCGTCATCTGATTTTGGTGCCAGATGACACTGTTATTTTCCAGGCATCCCGAGAATTCTGCTATGCTAGCCTTTTGGAGTAACTTCCAGCTGTATGTCTTCTCTGCATGTTTTTTTTTTTTTTTGCAAAGAATCAGTGACATACTGTACATTTGCACAAGTAACTTGATATACATGTAAAATAATATAAAGATCAAATGATGTGTACTTCATGGTATTGGTTTCCTTGCTTGTTATACAAAGAATAACACCTTATCCTCCTGAATATTGCTGAATTTTATTTTGTTTAAATTACTTAACTGCTCAAGCGCCTTTGAAAGGAACATGAATGAGTGATTCTCAAACATATTTAAGAATGTTCCTGTTAATACACAACAGTCAGAGCTTGAGGTTTTCAAACCACGTGTTTGTCTTGTGTCTTGCAGACGTCAGTGAAGACTGTCTTCATTCTGACCAGCAGGAGCAAGAGCGCCTTAACTGTAAAGAGGAAGAGGAGCCAGAGCACCTCCACATTAAAGAGGAAGAGGTGGAGACTGATATCACCAATCCGCCATTGGCTGGTGTCGTCCTGAAAGGTGAAGATGAAGGAGACGATCGTCAAAGTGTTGAGAAGAGAGGGGCTGAGCCTCCGAGCAGTAGCTCAAGTCAACACATGACAACGGAAGGCGAGAGAGACATCTGTGGAGCATCACAATCAGGGAGCCTCTTAGCTCCACTTTCAGATAGTGATGACATATCATCACATTCTCCCGACACTGAGGATGATGATGATGATGATGATGATGATGATGATGATGGACACTCTAAAAGTGATATGACAGGTCACACTGACAACAAACACAGAGAATGTTCTCAGTGTGACAAAACTTTTTTCAACAGGTCGTCATTGAAAAGACACATGAGAACACACACTGGGGAAAAACCTTTCTCCTGCTCAGTGTGTGGCCTTATAGTAAATCAAAAGTGTAGTTTAACAACTCACATGAGAACGCACACTGGGGAGAAACCTTTTGCCTGCTCATTTTGTGGTCAAAAATTCTCTGAAAAGGGAAATTTGATAAAACACACCAGAACACACACTGGAGAAAAACCTTTTACCTGTTCAATTTGCAGTAAAAGCTTTACTGAAAAGGCCAGTTTAATAAGCCACACAAGAACACACACTGGAGAGAAACCTTTTTCCTGCTCATTTTGTGGTCAAAGATTTTCCGAAAAGGGAAACTTAAGAACACACACAAGAACGCATACTGGTGAGACACCATTTGCTTGCTCAGTTTGTGGGCAAAGATTTGCTTGGAAGGGACTTCTGAATGCACACATAAGAACACACACTGGGGAGAAACCTTACGCGTGCTCAGTGTGTGGTCAAAAATTCTCTGCAAAGGGAAACTTAAGGATACACACAAGAACACACACAGGTGAGAAACCTTTTGCCTGCACAGTTTGTGACCAAAAATTCTCCGTGAAGGCGACTTTAAGAACACACATAAGGACGCACACAGGTGAGAAACCTTTTACCTGCACAGTGTGTGGTAAGAGCTTCTCTGTCAAGGGAAGTTTAATAAGCCACACAAGAACACATACTGGGGAGAAACCTTTTGCCTGTTCAACTTGTGGTAAAATTTTCACGCAGAAGGTACATTTAACAAGACACGTAAGGACACACACAGGAGAGAAATCAGGTAGTGGTTCAGCCTGCGATTTAAGTTCAGGAGTGAAAGATCTTCGTCCTGAGCAGCCGAAGTCGACCCCCAACATTAAAAAGGAAGAAGTGTGGCCAGAGCCCTCCCTCATTAAAGAGGAAGAAGAGGAGGAGGATATCACTAAGTTTCCATTGACTGTTGTCACTGTGAAGAGTGAAGACGGTTGATGAGAAAGTGAAGAGAACAGAGGAGCTGAGCCTCCAAGTACCAGCTCACGTCAATACATGACAACAGAAGGTGATGCGGACCATCATGGGGAAGTCAAAAGCAGGCAGCCTCTTCGCTCCGCTATCATTAAGTGACGAAACGATGTCACGCACCACTCACACTGATAATTATAAAGAATCAAAAGGACATTAGATGTCCCATTGATACCAAACCTTGTTCTCTGTGAAAGCACTGAAAAAAAAAACATTTCCTTTGCAGGCGTTCCACTCATTTGTTTTGATATACAGTATACGCCAATGTATTTTTTAAAATGTAATTTGAATGTATATGATTTGTTTTTTAATTGTTTTAATTTGTATTTAATGTCGAATGTTGCAACTTTGTGATTTATACAATGGTGCCTTGACTTTCATCACCCCTCACAAACAACACAACATTTCACATGCTTTCAATTAAAGCAAAAATTGCTGTGTTATAAAACATTACAATGACAATACAACCAAACATCATAGAAGGCAATTTTGAAGAAATTTAAAAGGGTTTGTAAATTGTAATTAAGCCGAAAGCCTCACCAACACACACTTTGTATTTGTTGATGGCTAACAGGAACTGGAGTCAATTGGATTGGCCCTGCACCACATGGTTAATTCAGTGTCAATGTCTGCCTTATGCTGCTTCTGAATGTTCCTTCTGTAGTTTGTGTGTTTGACTGCCCTATTCAATAAACAGCTCAAAAGTGCATCATGACTGTGGCTGACAACTGCACCAGTTCTTGCCTTCTATGATGTCACTAGATCCACTGCTGTGTCAGCTGACGCGAGCGGCTATGGCCTGGGGTGTGTGCTCCTCCAGCTTCATGGAGGAGAATGGAAGGCAGTAGCCGACTGCTCCAGGTGTCTCACAGAAGCTGAAACACCCCCTGTGTAGATCGAGAAGGAATGCCTGGCCAGTATATGGGCGTATGAGAAATTTGACAAATACCTGTGTGGTTTTGGATCAGTTTAGGCTCGATACCGACCACAAGCCATTGGTACCACTTGCCAACAGCCATAGCCTAGACAACGTTCCATTGAGATGTCAACGCCTATTGATGAGACTCCTGAGGTACAATGCAAAAGCAGAATATGTGCCTGGGAAGACATTAATTGTTGCAGACACCCTGTCTCGTAACCTTCAAGGGCATTTAATGGACAGAGTGGACACACATGGAGATGTGGCCTGCTACGTAGCCACATTGTTGCATGGTGTCCTCAGCAAAGATGGAGAGCATCAGAATGGCAACAGCAACTGACAGTGAAGTGCAGGAGGTAGCCAAATTCATTTGGTCGGGCTGTGTAGCAAGAAAGTTCGGCTACACATTAAAGACTATGCAAAAGTGAAAAATGAGCTATCAGAAGCTGATGGAATCATAATGAGAGGAACCAGAATTGTAGTTCAGAGGAAAATGAGAGCAGAGATCTCACAAAAGGTACATGATGGACAGCATGGGCTCACAAAGTGCAGAGTCAGGGCCAAAGCATCAGTTTTGGTGGCATGGGCTGTCTGTGGAACTCAAGACCATTGTGGAGTCGTGCCAAACCTGTCTGGAGATGAAGTTTAGGCCAAAACAAGGAACCCCTTATCCCCACAGTGCTGCCTACGTGGAAATGGATGGTCTTGATCAGCCCTGCGCGACTGCTAATTGGGTAGGAAGAAGAACAACAACGCTGCCTATATTAGAGACAAACCTACAACCCAGATGGCCCAACAGATCATCAAACAAAAGGACGCTAAGGAGAAGGCAAAACAAAGTTTTTGACTTCAATCGTCGACCTGGGGTCAGACACCTACCTGTTCTTCATCCAGGACACATAGTCAACACTAAATTGGACTACGAGAAGCCTTGGAAGTCACCAAGAGTCATCCCGAGGAAGGCCGTCACACCACAAATTTTACCTTGTTGACATGGAAGGTCGGACAGTCCAGCGCCGTAATAGATTCTATCTCCAAGCAGGACCAACTCCTCCACTATTAATGATTGTCCACCCAGTGTGTCACCAACCATCCCAAAGACACCACCCCAGAGACACTTCCCTCTAAACCAAGTGAAGTCACAAACCCAAGACACAGTCGCACAACACAACAGACTCTCACAAGATCTGTCTGTGGCCCGGTTTCTGACCCTGAGGCGCAAGGAAACACCTAACAATGTCCTTGGGGGGGCATTTTAAAGGGCGTTGTGATTCAAGTGCTAATTTATATGTGTTCAGGCCATATCTAAATGCTGATATAAAGTTGAGCAATCTTTGCAGGATGTTGTTTCATGCATAATTCATGTTGAAAAGGAGAGCTATCCAAGAGGGATCACTGATTTCAGTTTAAAAGGCCCAAAGAATGTTTCCATGTTTATTGCTGTAGAGAGAAGCAAATTAATATTTTAAAACAGCCGCTGTTCCTGTATATTTTCCTTTATTTTTGTGATATTTAGTTAATGAGATGAACTTGAAAATGGGGGGATGTCACAAATGCAAATATAAGAAAACTTATCTGCTTTGGCTCTCGGCAAAAGCTTTTTATTTCTGAATAACAGTGACCTCCCTCCTAGCTTCAAAACAATTTCACTTTCCTCAAATGACAGAAAGGCATGAATACATAGAAGATACTGATACCTAAAAAAAATACACACAAGCAATACATTCCAAAAAGGTTTTATTCTACCCTTGATGTCGGGAAATTATTTGGTGATACTTTTTCTATAATTCACAGTCATTCTCAAGACACATAACAGACATAACAATTCAATTAGCAAGTTGGTGGTTGTTAAGCCTGTACAACACGGGACACCAACCTTTTTGAAATTAATAACTTGGTGATCCCTCCTCTTCATCCTCCATATTATTTGCTCTTTATGATTCCAATTTTCACATCTTGCCTCATAGTTGTGGCACATTAAATACATCTTTTTATGCTTTAATCAAAGAAATACCGCTATACATTGCCTAAAAAAGCAATCTTAACCGATTTGCCCTCAGATGTCACCAACAGTGTGCGCAGATGCACCGAAGAACGTTTGCATTTACACCGCTTGCAGTTGTCTGTGGAGACAGCTCATAATTGTAACGTTTCTTTATGAACAGGGGATGAGAAGACGGATCAGGGAACAGCAAGAAGGTCTTCCTCAAGAAGAACGGAAGTGCACCGAGTAAGGGGTAACAGTACTGCCATACATTTGCAAACTGCTTGAAATGAAGAGCGGTTCAGAAATGGAGTTTGAGGCAGTGAAAGTGTGTGTGTGTATATATACACACACACACACACACACACACACACACACACACACACACACACAGTATATATATATAAATATATATATATACTGTATATACCGTGTGTGTGTGTGTGTGTGTGTGTGTATATATATATGCAACTTATTTTTGTCTGTATTTGATCAACTCTCCCCGCTCTACTGTCCCACTGAGAGTATGGAATGTTGACAGTGTTTGGTGTCAGCGTGACAAACCATGCCTTATAACACCTTAAGAATCTTCAGCATTATCTGTGTCAGAACAGTGTGACGATAATTTGTCACGATGTGATGATGAAATGGCAGTGTGATTGTGATCCTCCACCGTGGTTTCCTTTTCCTTCCATTTTCATGTGTTGGCTTGAGCTGCTGCTCGGAGGCTCGGTCCATTAGCTGTGCTCACCTTGATAGTCTTCATCATCTTCACACTTCACAATGACATCAGTCAATTGCAAATCAAAGACATCTTCCCCCTCCTCTTCCTCTTTGACGTGAAGCGGCTCTGGCTCCTGCTGCTCCACCCTGGAGCTGCACTCTTGTGGCTCAGAATGAAGATGATCCAATCCTAAACTAAAGTCGCAAACTGAATTGGTATAAGGTTTCTCTCCAGTGTGCGTTCTTCCGTGCCTTTTTAAAGTATCCCTTTCTGTGAAGCTTTTACCACAAACTGAGCAGGTATAAGGTTTCTCCCCAGTGTGTGTTCTTGTGTGCCTTTTTAAACGTCCATTTAAAGAGAATGTTTTACCGCAAACTGAGCAGGCAAACGGTTTCTCACCAGTGTGTGTTTTTGCATGCCTTATTAAAAGTCCATTTACAGAGAAGGTTTCACCACAAATTAAGCAGGCAAAGGGTTTCTCTCCAGTGTGTGTCCTTGTGTGTTCTGTTAACCTACCCTTGTGAGCGAAGCTTTTACCACAAATTGAACAGGTAAAAGGTTTCTCCCCAGTGTGTGTTTTTGTGTGTCTTATTAAATCTCCCTTCACAGTGAAACTTTTCCCACAAAGCGAGCAGGCAAACGGTTTTTCCCCAGTGTGTGTTCTTGTGTGCCTGATTAAGCCTCCCTTTACCGAGAACCTTTGGTCACAGACTGAACAAGCAAAAGGTTTTTCACCAGTGTGTGCTTGCTTATGTGTGTTCAATTGTACCTTCCAAGCGAATCTGTGACCGCAAATTGAGCAAGCAAAAGATTTCTCCCCTGTGTGGGTTCTTAAGTGTGATTTTAAGCTTCCCTTAACAGAAAATCTTTGACCACAAGTTGAGCAGGCAAATGGTTTCTCTCCGGTGTGTATCCTTGTGTGTTTTACTAAACTTTCCCTTCCGGAAAAGCTTTTCCCACAGACTGAGCAGGCAAAAGGTTTCTCTCCAGTGTGGGTTCTCATGTGAGCTGGTAAACTACTCTTATAAGTTAATCTTATACCACACACGTAGCAGGAAAATGGTTTCTCCCCTGTGTGTGTTCTTGTGTGTGTTGTCAAATTGGCTCGTTGAGTGAATGTTTTACCACAAACTGAGCAGGAAAAGGGCTTCTCTCCAGTGTGGATCGTCATATGTCTTTTCAAGAGAGACTTAGAGACAAAGGCCTTGTCACACTGAGAACATTTCCAGCGTTTGTTGACAGTGTTACTTGTCTTGTCGCCTTTAGAGTGTTCTTCATCATCATCATCATCATCATCATCATCATCATCATCATCAACATCATCATCAACATCATCATCATCTTCAGTGTCAGGAGAGTATGATGTTATGATGTCGCAATGTGATGGTGGAGTTAAGAGGCTGTCTGCTTCTATTTTCATGTGTTGGCTTGAGCTGCTGCTTGGAGGTTCCGCTCCTCTGTTCTCCTCACTTTTAATTTTCTTTTCATCAGATTCCCTCTTCAAAGGGGCCAATGTCACCGGCAACTTTGTGATATTGTCCTCCTCTTCCTTTTTAATGTAGGGAAATTCAGGATCCTCTTCCACCTTAATGACATTGGGACCTTGCTCCTCCTCTTCATCTTTAATGTGACAGAGCTCCTGCTGCTCAGGACCAATATACTCTTCACTGGCATCTGCAAGAAACAAGAAGACCAACACTTGGTTTGTTGAAGTATAATGTTGTGCCTTTGATGTTGTATATTCTTTAACCATGTTTTTGCAATGTTCATTAGGAACATGTACGGTATAGTTATGACATTAAAGAACCGCACAGTTTCGTTCCAAAGTGCTTGAGCAGTGAAGTATCGGTAAACGGAAGTGCAAAACTAGAAATTTTCCGGATGAGCAATTATTCATCTGTTATTCACCGAACAGCACAACAACAGGCCGACAGTATGCATAGTGTATATTTCCTGGTATTTAATAATGCTATATTAAATGTAAATAAAGGTATTCATGAAAATGTGTGCCTGTCATTCTTATCAAAACAGGCAGAGAACCCCTCACAGCTGACAATGTAATTCCCCAAATCAATATGGC